TTCGTCGTGTTCAAAAAGATCAACGTGGACTCAAGATCCATGTTCACCAGGAGCCAGTCTCATCCTTTAATGGACAGGGGGTTCCATCTCTACCCTCACGCTCTGTGAGAGGTTCATCCCAAGTCTCTGACTTGCGGGAATTGCTGTCGATGTTCAACCGACCGACGAATGTCGTTTTGCTCAATAATCGACGACATCATCACAGGAAGAAGACTTTAGAGGTTGAATACCTTGGAGTCACTTCTAACATGGTTGGTAGAGGGAGATCATCAACCCTTAGTTCTGACGAGTCAGAGACAGATCATTCTCCAAGCGTCAGAGAAATCGCTAACGAGTTTGAAGGAGTCTACCAACGCACTCGGACGCAAACAGGAGCCATTCCCCCTGTCAACTATCGGAGTTTGGCCAGAGAAACTAATTCCGATGACGAACACTCAGCCATTGCGGAGTCCCAATCATCAAGCTCTTTCGTTGGGCATGAGAGCTTCGTCCACATGGCAGAACATTCGGAAGACCTTTCAAAGAGACTTGATGAACAGGAAGCCATGCTCAAATCTCAGCAGGAGGCCATCAATGAACTCATGGCCATGTTGACTCAAATCGTCGCAGACAAGGCCAAATCTCAAGAGACAGATTCGCCTCTATTCCGACTTTATGGATAGTGCCCCACTAGGCTATGTGCCTTGTCTACCTCTTTTTTATTCCCCTGCTAAGTCTTCATCAAGACTGGGGGTTGGTTACTTGGAATCCACTGGATTAAGAGTAACGAATCTTTCACATCGTCGAGTTAACATTACACTTCTGACGATCATCATCCCCACAGAGTATGCATTCAGTTTGCATCACTCCAAATTCTTGTCACGTTAACAATACACCTCTGACAAAACCCACTTATCAATCCTCGTCAATAGGATGATAAGTCCCCAAAGTTGCTCCAATTGCAACACAAATCCTGTCACGTTAACACTACACCTCTGACAAAATCAACTTATCGACTCTTTCCAATAGAGCGATAAGTTCTCAAAATTGCTTCCATAGCAATATCTTTCTTGTCACGTTAACACTACACCTCTGACAAAATCCACTTATCGACTCTCTTCAATAGAGCGATAGGTCCACAAACTCGTCAAGTTAACACCACACCTCTGACGACCAAATCAACTTATCGACTCTCTCCAATTGAGCGATAAGTTCTCAAAATTGCTTCCATAGCAATATCTTTCTTGTCACGTTAACACTACACCTCTGACAAAATCCGCTTATCGACTCTCTTCAATGGAGCGATAGGTCCACAAACTCGTCAAGTTAACACCACACCTCTGACGACCAAATCAACTTATCGACTCTCTTCAATAGAGCGATAGGTCCGTAAAATACTGTTATGTTAACATAACACCTCTAACAGTCAACCCCCCAATGAACTTGTTAATTCTTTCGGTGTTTCAAGCTACACAGGAAGAAATGACACCAAAAATCCATGCCTTCACGCATGGGGGACTTTATCTCGATCCCTAATTAGAGATAAGTCTGCATCTAACACATGCTGCCGGGTAGCCTATTCCCGCAATAATAGCAAAGCCTACGTATTCAATATCGTAGCAGGTCGTTATTAATAACGCCAAAATCCATGCCTTACACGCATGGGGAATTTTATCCTGAATCCTAAGTAGGGATAAGTCAATGTCTAACACACGTTGCCGGTTAGTCTTTTACCGTGAAAAGGACATCAAAATCCATGCCTCACACGCATGGGGGACTTTATCTTGATCCCTAAATAGAGATAAGTCTACGCCTAACACGCGTTGCCGGTTAGTCTTTTACCGTGAAAAGGACATCAAAATCCATGCCTCACACGCATGGGGGACTTTATCTCGATCCCTAAATAGAGATAAGTCTACGCCTAACACGCGTTGCCGGTTAGTCTTTTCCCGTCAAAATGACAAAGTCTATGTATTCAAAATCATAGCATCAAGACTAAGAGAGTTCATTCTCTTAGCACAACGTTACATGTGGAACGGACCTAGATAATTCACATGCTAGCCCGACTCAAACGGTAGTCGGTAAAGGCTTATCAAATCCGTTGATGGCTGAGGGTTTGCCAAAAATCCTACGCACATTTGCAGGCCCATCAGCTTAATAGATGTGAGTCGAGACTTAAAACAGATGCGCCAAAGACAAGTCTCAAAGACTTAGTCAAAAATGCACGGAAGCCACTTCCATGTCTTAAGTCAAAATGTTGACCCGCGATGCAAAAAACCAAACGCCGAGGTCACACCTGTGTTCCAAATTCAACATGCAACGGTAAAACCCGCATCTCAAGTTCAAAATGCAGGGTCCACCCCCACATTCCAGAAGCAGGATTATGGCACATACCTTCACGCAGGTCCTACATGGAAAATCCCTTCAACCAAGCTGCCTTCGAAGCGAGTGCAGAGAACAACTCCTTTGTGACAAGGAATCAACAGCTCCAAGATCAGAGTTGAGATCCAAAGTATTCCGAAAATTCGTCCCAGTCAACCGCGAACTTTCGAAAACTTTGGAGGGGGTTCTGTAGGCTGTCTAAAAATCACAATAGATAGTTGATCCCCTATCAAACACCGATGATGGAAGTTACAATCTGACGACTTCCAGAAGGCTACAATTTGAGGACTTTCACGTGGAAGGCTACGATCTGACGACCTTCACGACAACTGATGAAAGCCCCAATTCAACAGCCTTCACAATCAACATCGGGAGTTACAATCTGACGATTCTCATATTTTCAAGGAGCCAAGACAAAGATTACAAGAGGATGATCTGTGCAAAACTCTGGCAAAAGAGACTACAAATTGACGGTCTCTTCATATTAGAATGCAGATATCTCTCAAACCGTGAGGAATTTGGCAAAACGGAGAAAGCGAACCGAAGCCTTTGGCTTGGTTCGGATGGCCCCGTCTCGTCGAGATAGCCGATTTTCATATGTAATTCGTCCAATTCCGACGTACGGTTTGAAAGTTATGACCTGTTCTTCATAGCAAGTTGTGTTCTGAAGTCCGTCTGCAAGACTGGACTTCGTCAGAACATTGGACTTAGCCTGAAGCTCGCCAAGCCCGCTTAAGGTTCGCCTCTGCATTACAGAGTCAAAACGCACATGCTCAACTCTGCGTTTTCAACATCAAAACGCAGAGTTAATCTCTAAAACAGCACAATTGTGCGTTTTCAGCCTCAAACAGGCTTAACTCTGCGTTTTCCAGCATACATCTAACTCTGTGACGCAGAGTTAAAGCACAAACGCACACCTAACGTGCGTTCTTCAACAGACTCATCCATGCGTCCCAAACTCTTGACGCAGAGTTGAATTCCAACGCACAAGCGGCCTGTGCGTTCAGCCACTAACTCTGCGTCTCGGAGTTCATCATGCTGAGCGGCCTGTGCGTTCAGCCTAAAACACCCTAACTCTGCGTCTCAGAGTTCATTACGCTGAGCGGCCTGTGCGTTCAGATACTAAAATAGGCCCAACTCTGCGTTTTTAGTCTAAAAACGCAGAGTTCGGGCCATGAACGCTATCTTTTAGCGTTTGACTCATTCAAACAAGAATGGAACAGTTCTAGAAACTGTTTTCCCCCACGATTTGAGGGATTTCCGCCCCACTTAGGAGCGGATTAAGGGGGTAGTTACCATCAGTAACCCCCCCTATAAATATCAGAAACTCAATTGAGTTAAAGATCGGATTTTTCTCATCGATAAGGGGGAGATTCGGTCATTCTTTCGAAGGGCTTTTTCAGATCTGAGGCTTGGCAGCAAAGGGAGAGATCTCGGAGCTTGGAAGACCAGCAACAGGAGCTTCTTCCTTGGCTTATTAACCGAACTTTCGGTTCAAATCAACTCTTTTTCAAGAGTTCAAACTCGTTCAGAGTTATCAACTCGATCAGAGTTCAAAACTTGCTCTGCAAGTTCTTCTAAAACTCGTTCAGAGTTATCAACTCGATCAGAGTTCGAAACTTGCTCTGCAAGTTCTCCTAAAACTCGTTCAGAGTTATCAACTCATTAAGAGTTATTTTCAAACTTGCCACGCAAGTTCTCCACAGCGTCAAATCGTGAGGAGATGACATCGTTCCAGTGAATCAAAACGTTCGGATCGTCAACGAGAAGCAAACTCGACGCGAGCATTCGAGGGAGGCATCTCATCGCCACCGTGAAGAACCCAGAATTAAACAAAGGGGAGAATCGAATTCATTCTCCTCTCTTTTGTAATCGGAATCCAAATTGTAATTGATTTTGAGAGGAATACAAGTCAAATTTTTCTTTCATTGTCTTTTTACTACAAATTTCCAACAAACAAGTTTCTTTGCAGATAATAGAAAAAATGGAAATGGCATGAGCTTATATTTCATTCCCCCTGATTCAAATGATTCTGTAAGATTTGAGGAGGAAGAATGGCAGGAAGGTGAATCAATGTGGGAATTTTCACTAATTGGACAGGTTATAGGCCTAAATGCCAAATTTAAATCTATGGAGACATTTGTTAAGAAAGCTTGGGCTCCAATAGCCAATCCTGAAGTTTTTCTGCTCAAATCTGGATTATATCTGTTTAAATTCAATAATAAGGAGGAGATCAATGGGATAATTGAAAATGGCCCTTGGTTTTTTGGGTCAAGGCCTATCTTGCTAAAGCACTGGTCAAATGAGGAAGAGCTAGAGAAGAATCTTGATAATGTTTACCCTATGTGGATACAACTGCCAAGCTTAAGACTCAATTTGTGGAATGCTAAGTGTATAAGCAAAATAGCTAGTGTCATTGGTAAACCAATAACAACTGATAAACTTACAGCCAGCAGACAAAGGCTAGCTTATGCAAGGGTTTTGGTTGAGGTTAAAATGCCTTCACAACTTCCTGAGCACATTACTATACAAGGGCCAAATGGAAAAACAATTGATCAAAAGGTTCATTATGAGTTTAAGCCTAGATGGTGTGATTATACAAGGGCCAAATGGAAAAACAATTGATCAAAAGGTTCATTATGAGTTTAAGCCTAGATGGTGTGATTATTGCAAACAAGTTGGGCATGAAACTAGATCAAAAGGTTCATTATGAGTTTAAGCCTAGATGGTGTGATTATTGCAAACAAGTTGGGCATGAAACTAATTTCTGCAAAAGGAAACCTAGGACTCAAAAGTTATGGATTCCTAAGCACTCTGCTCAGATTTCAGATCAAAACCCACCTGGTGATTCAAATCAGACACAAGGCTCTGGTAATGCTGCAGGAAATCAGATACATGTACAAAACCAGCAAGTTCTTTCAGGAAAACAGGTGGTGATGGATGAAGGTACCTCAGATAATTCAGTGCATGTTGTGCATGTTGAGGTTAATGCAAATAGCAAGAAATCCCCTAATGTTCATGCCCAGCAACCTGATTCTGTAGATTCTGGAAATGCCGTGCATGTTGTGCATGTTTCTGTGAATAAAGCTAGCAACAACAATACCCCTACTGGAAACTCTTGGATGTTGATGCAAAGAAATAAAAATAAAAAGGCTATCCCCATTAACTCTTTTACCCCTTTGGCAAATATGGTGGATGAACTGGATCCATTTACAATGGATAGGGGGAGGAAAATTGATGAATCTGTCAATATGGAATATAAGGGGTATGAACAAATCCCCTAAACAACATCTGGTCAAGCAGCATATAAAGCAGTATCATCTTCCTTTTTTGGCTCTCCTTGAGACAAAAATTAAAGAATCTGATATATCAGTCATTTCTAGAAAAATTGCGGCAGGCTGGAAAAGTGTTTCAAATGCAACAAACAATGTCAGAGCCAGGATTCTGATCTTATGGGACCCCAGTATCTTGAGCATTCAAAATATGATAATCAATCCTCAACATATTACATGTACAGTTAAGTCATTTGATAGCAGAGTTGATTGTGTAATATCA